TCTTAAGGGCTCACAATGCAAACTTAGTTGTATTCTATGTGTGATCCTTTCTGGAAGTTAAGTCAAGCTGTGTCTTAAAGCTGATGAAGCTCCTTTCCTTTTGCACACTTCAGCAGCGAGTGCTTTTCCCTGCTGTTGAGATGGGAGAATTTTGGTTGGAGTGCTTTTGATTAGCTTGTGGCATAGGGGGTATGGGGCCATCCACACCTGCGTGTGGTTCCTGTCCTCACTCTGGCAGCAGAGTATCCTTTGCTGCATCCCCATCATCATTCTCTTCCTCAGCTGCCTTTCTGCAAGCAGCTTTCTCTAAAATATCTGTTCATGATTTTTCAGGATAGTGTTCACCCCTCTGGGCTTGATCTGTAGAGCCATCTTGGTGAGGGAGTGTGTTCACATTAGCTGGGGCACTGGACAAGGTGCATAGGGAGGCTCAGGATTCAAAGCTGCATACTTGAGCAGGCTAGGAAGGCTGGTAGCTTCCAAGGTACCTAGCTGGCTGAATGTGAGCATTTCTGGTTATGTCCTGAAAGTTTTTGCAGGTTGTGTTTCTGCAGGAGGGATATGCCTGGTTGCAGAGATCCTCAAGGTCTTCTGCTGATGTGCCTCAAGCTTGTGGTTCAATGCTAGGAAGTTTATCTCAAATCAAAGCACGTGGGGATGTTGTTCCATTTTAGGCTCAGATTTCATTTATAGAAGTTGAGTCACTCATTCTGGCATCACAAGAAAAGACATGGATGCTAACTGTATCTGCTCTTTGGGCTAGCCAGACTCGCAGCCACCAGGCACCCTCTGGCCAGATGCTCTTATCCTCATTCCTGATGTGTCAGTGTTGTTTTAGTTTTGTGCTTTGCTCCTGCTTGTGCTGGGGACGTTAAGGGAAAGTCCCACTTCTGTCCCCACGACCTTGAGATCAGTGTTTATCTTTGCCTGTGGCCCACCCCAGGATCCCGTGTGGCCATCTGCCTCGTGCTTTGGCCGTGCAGATCCCGCAGGCAGGCTGCAGTGCTGGGAGCCACAGTGGGGCTTTATGGGAAGGCAGCCATGCAGGCTGCTCACGGTGAAGGCATGAGTCAGTGCTGCTTAAGGCAGTCAGCTTTCTTGCTGTGTGCATCACAATCTGAAGTGTTTGTTCTTTATTTTATTTCAGTAGAGTTCAGCTCTACTAGTGAGTCACAAAGCGTTGCCAGTATTCCCATCCAGGACAGCTTGGATTGGAATCATGCACATCATGGTGTGATCTCAGCAGTCCGTTGTAGCGAAGCTCTGTGCCCCCACCTCTCAAGTGCATGGTGACGTGGGGCTCGTTTCTCTGTCACCTGAAGTTAGCCATCACAGAAGCATCCCCGTTGTTCCCACTTCCTGCCCTGGCAGCCTTGTTGTGTTTGAGCAGCTGACCTTGCAGCAGCAGGCATTTGTGTTGTCCTGCTGCCTCCATCCTTGCGTCTGCACGGATGCCTGTGTGGCTTGCACAGTGAATGGCACTGGGAGCCTGATCTGAGTTGAGCCAGTGGAGCAGAGGAGTTTGTCTTGATGCAGTTTGTCATGCAGCTGCGTGAGTTCTTGTGCTGGTGCAAGGCTGGGTGTGCAGCAGGATGCAGGTGCTGCTCTGAGAAGTGCATGCTGTTTTCTAAGGAGCACAGAGCTACAAATGGAGGGATTTGTAAACTGCACTGGAGAGGGTGTTTGTGCACTGTTATGCCTTAGCTATGGAACGTCTTTACTGTACTTCTGCAGAACCTGATGTCTCACCCCAGAGCTCGAAATTGCTTAAAACTGTGGCTGAACAGGGTTGTCCTTCCTGCCCTCTGTTCTTCTGTATGCATGTGTGTGTGAGTACGCCTGATGTTCTCCCACCCCAGGTCCCCTGTTAGTGCTGGCCATCTCCTTGGCTCTAGGGGAGGTCTGGTAAGACATTAACCTCGACTGGGGGTCTGTGAGATCCTCTGGTTGGATCTAGGAAAACACGTAACCAGTTTGTTACTGTGTTGTGGCACGTACCTTTCTGAAGGGCAGCATCATAAGGGCAGTGGGCTTCACTCTGCTTCATGACTGTGGAGCTCAGGGTTACCTTGTCTGTCTTTTTCTTTGGAAAGATTTTGTGCCACTACAGGAAAACACAGCTGATTGTTCTTGGTGTCTGTGCCATTAAGGACCGGGTGTTGGACAGGTGAGGTTTGTAGCTTGAATTCAGAGCATGCGTTCAGATTTAAATATTGTGGAGCCAGTCCTTTTCCACTACAGGATGTTTTTAGTGGCTGGGATAATGGAACATCAGATGTGCTGTGTCCTCGTGCACTTACCAGTGCCCTGCTCACCCTCGCCTTCACAAGTGTCGCTTGGTGGACGATCTGTCTTGCTTGGAAGGGGGGTGCTCAGCTGCCCTCTGTGTTCTGCTGCTGGCTGATCTCTGACTGCAGTGTTGGGCACCACCAAAGGATGTGCCTGGGTGACCCCGTCTCTCTGAAGCTGTTGTGTGGATTACAGGCTATTTTTCAGTCCAACTGGAAGGACTCTGCATTTCACAAGCCAGCTAAAATAGTTGAACCAATGCCTTTGTTTAACAGAGGAAGAATGAGTAATGTTTAGGCCTTCAAATAGGTTTTTGGTGTTTTTTGCTTTATAGTTGTTTGAAACTGCTGGGATTCTTCTGTCTCTGTTTGTGGATAGTGTCCATGTTTAGTAATAATTCTTGGAGTTGGTCTGAGTGTCGCTCGGTTCCCGCTCCCAGATGTAACGTGCTGGTTTTCCAAGCCCTGTAGTTAGCTTCCTCTTCTGTTAAATGCTATTGGGGACAAAGGATTTTTCTCACATTTACTTGTATGTGACCCCGTGGTGTGGTATGCTGCTGTCCTCTGAGTGACTCAGATGGCGTGCTCTTAGGTGTTGCTCATCTTTCAGCAGCCTTCTTAAAGTAGGCCAGGCGTCCCCTCTTTTGTTCTGATGGCTAAAATCTGCCCAGAGGTGAATCTGAAAACAGCCTGCTGGTGTGCGTGTCTGCCTGGATATCTGTGCTATCTGTCTGAAGTTAATGAAGGTGTCTGAAGCTAATGAGCATACCTGGAGAGTCTCCATTGTCTCACACAGGGACATTAGTGCTTCATTCTGCTGCTGGTGGAGTGGAGACCCTGAGACACGTTGCAACTGACTTGCAGTGGGAACTGGGCTGGTACCAGAACTGGGAGTTGTACGCGTGTCTCTGGATGTGGGGGACCCTCTCAGCACCCGTGTCCCATGAAGTTTAAACTATAGGAGGGTGTGAAGTCGTCCCCTGTGTTTGGGATAATGGAAAACTCTGCTGTGATTATTGTAAAAATAAAGGAAACCAAATCTAAAGGAAAGCTGCATAGGCACGGGGAGTCTGAAGTCTGCAAAGTGTTCAACTGTGCAGTGTTTGTGTGTTGCAGGTGCTGGCACCCTGCTGCTTCTTGGATATTAGCTGCTGTCAAACCAAGCTAAGAAGTATATAGGCAAGCCTCTGCTGCTAGAGCTCTGCCTTTTTGATAAAGCAAATGAGAGGGAGGAGAGAAATCCACAGCCTGTTTTAGTCTTTGTGCTATGTCTCAGGCTCTGCGTGAGTTGAGAGACTTAAACCTTATCCTGTGATCCAAAAATGATGTTTTGTCCCTTCTCTACACCAGCAAGCTGACTATTCTTATCCCTTTGCACTGGATGTAGTTGTGTGAGGACAGTGTGGTCACGTAGCCACCACAAAAGGAAATGCTTTCCATTGGATCAGTGAGATGATTCAACAGAAATGTACGTACACACACCATCCCAAAATCCAGTGCGAGGGAAATGTGCAGACAGCAGAGAGAAGCATCATTCTGCTGCTGGGACCTTTTGGGTCAGGTTGTGTTAACCATATTGTAAAGTATCACCCCCAGTTCTGTAATGTCCAGAGCTGCATTTTCTGTGCTGCTGAACCAGAAAGCGAGGAAGAGCCAGAGGAGCTGCTTTCCCCCCCGGATCGTGGCCCAGCAGTGCCGGGGTGTAGATGCAGAGACATCCCGTGGCCACAGGAGGGATAGCCTGGGCTGCGTTCTGGCCTCCCAGGTCCCTCAGACATTGTTGCTGCCCTGGGGTTCTTGTGCCAGAGACTTCAGGTGGTTGCTTGTTGTGAGGAGGTGCTGTGGTGTTTCTCCAGCAGTCCCAGGAGCAGCTGCAGTCTGAGCTAGAAAGGCCAGAGCATCTGGAGCTAACTCGGGCAGCTTTGCTTTTTCGCCATCCTGTGGCTGTGCCAGGCAGACTGCAAACATTTAAAGAGCATCTGTCTTCTCCAGAGCACTTTAAATCTCATTTGGATTTGACAGTCCTTCTTGCCTACCTTTAGAAAGCCCAGGCTTATTGTGTGAGTGGGCTATATAAAAGCATGAGGAACCAGCTGCTCTGAAGGGCTTTGGGTATTAAAGGAGAGGATCCAAGGGGAAGCCACTTAGATACAGCAGCAGAATGGCTATGGCACTTGTATTCTGAAAATGTTCCAAGTCATAGCTTGGAGAGAAGTGGAAAAGAAAAGGAGGAAATGGTGTCAGGGCAGGAGGTGAACAGGAGTTGCTTAGATGTGCAGAAGGAAAGGGATTCTGATTCTTCAAGGACTTGTTCTGCTTGTGTTGGTTCTGTCCCTGCTGGGTGGGTGTGAGCTTGCTTTTGGCTGTGCTGGAGCTCACCGTTTGTGCTCCGTTACCACGGTGCCTCTCTGATGACATGAGCTGAAGGAAGGAAATGGCATTCTGTAAAGATGGGAGCCTCAGGATACTCAGACCTCCTCCTTTCACTGTCTCCTGTCAACCCTACTGGAGGTGGAAGAGACAGACTCCAAATTAGCATGTGTTTCCCTACACGATTAAAGAGATGGTGAGGAGCGTGCTGGAACAAGTGGGAAGTAAATGGGAAATGAGAGGGACACTTGCAGATATAGAGAAACAGCAAAAACTTCTCCTAGGAGATGAGCACGAGTACAAGTGTTTCTCCATTCACAGGACTCTCGTTTGCCTTTCCAGATCATCACAAGGAAGCAAACAGAGAGGGGGAAAACCTGGCTGCCTGAGCACCGCTGAGCTGCATCTCCCAGCCTTTGTGGCTCTCCCCATGCTCCAAGAGTTCAACTGGTGCCCAACGCGATGTGTGTTTGTCAAACCATGGAAGTGGGCAAGTATGGCAAGAATGCCACTAAATCTGGAGACCGGGGGGTGCTGCTGGAGCCTTTCATTCACCAGGTGGGCGGCCACAGCAGCATGATGCGCTACGACGACCACACCGTCTGCAAGCCGCTCATCACCAGGGAGCAGCGCTTCTATGAGTCCCTGCCTCCAGAAATGAAGGAGTTCACGCCTGAGTACAAAGGTGAGGCCTGCTGTCACCTTGCAGGGGGGTGACGTGGTTTGTGGAGCCGCCTTCTCCTTTTCCTGGAGCTGCTTGAGCGTCGCTGTCTTTTTCGCTTTTTAGTTGTGTTCTTCTCTTTTGCAGGGTAGCGATGTGATTGGAGCTTTTGGGAAGGGGGAGGTCTCTTTTTTTGTGCTCAGTGTGTTCATCCCTCCAGACAGAATCTAACTGTTGTTGTCTGACACTTAAGGTTATGACAGAAGTAATTTTACTGGCAAGTTCTTGTCAGTTCCTACTGCCTTGACCTTGAGCAAGTGAAGTTAGGTCACGCACCGAGCAGTTGTGCATTCAGTCCCATAATTTACTGCCTCCTCATCCCAGCTCTTTTATGGACCCCTATCAGAAAACTGCTGAAGCAGGAAGTGTTTCTTTCTGAGCGCTGAGCTGAAGTGAGCCTTGTCCCCAGCTGCTCCCAAGGAGTGGAATTTTCCAGTGCCTGTATCATTGTAGCAAATCGATCGCCTCCTGTATCTTTCAGAAGGTACCTTGGGGCCATGTGTTCCCCTGCAGAAGGGTAACTCTGCTGCTGCTTCCTTCCTGTGTGCCACAAGGAGGACTGTGCTTCAGGGACAGCTGGGGCCTCCGTCTGTTCCAGGTCGTGCCATTTGATCTGGCTGTTTCCTGAAGGGCTGAAAGCAGTGTCAGCTTACCTACCTGTGTCTGTATACAGACTGTGACTGAAAGATACCATCTCCAACAGATGGGTCCTCTTGTACCCTCAAGTCGCTCTGGATCCATATGGGGCTCTGGTGACCCATCTGAAATCCCACCTGAAGCCTGTTGTTACTGCAATCGATGTGATGTCAGGCTTTCCTCAGGAGATGTGTTTAAAACTGATGAAGCTGATGGTCCAGATGGAGACCTCGTATCATCATCATATTTCCTAGTTGCCTAAAGGCACGGGATGTGCATCTCCACTACAGTATGGGATTTCATCTGAGGCTCCAGTGCAGTTTCCTGCTGGTCCCAGGGGTCACTCCTGCTGCTCTGGAGAAGATGATGTTTCCTTTCTGAGCACACGTATGTAACTCTTAAGATTGCCTCTTCAGAGGTGTGACTTGTGGATCGCATCCAGGCAGACAGAGGGCTTGGATGATCATTTATGTAGTGACATGCTGGAGTCCTGAGCTTCTCAGAACTTGTGTGGAGCTTTCTTACCTTGTTGGCATTGTCATGTGCAGGTAGGGAAGAATAGTAGCGTGATGTTCTCTATCAACCGAGCAGTGAAATCATCACTTTTATGGCAAGTCTCCAGATTCAGTCCATGTAGAGCCCAATATTCTTGGCAGCTGTTTGATACTGGTGACAAACTGATTAAAAAAAAAGTCACTGCTGTGAGTTGAGAGATGTCGACTGCCTCGTTTTCAGGGCTGGAGGTGCCCCAAAGACGTCAGCCCTACCTGAAATTGCCAGCTATTCTGCCCCGTGCTCTGATACATTCAGAATTGGTGCCGTGAAAGATCTTTATCTTCCCTGGGAACGTGGTGTTTTTCAAGAGCCTGTGGAAGGTAACGGTGGCCAGGACACACGTGGACCTGATTGCCTTCAGCTGGCACAAAGTTTTTGCTCCACGGCCTCCTGTTTTTTATCACTAGGAAGCCCTGGGGCCTCACAGATCCTTTTCTGCAAGACTGGCTGACTTGAGATACGAGCAGCAGGTGTCACCAAAGTGTCAGTGCTCAGGTGCTGGAGCAGGGAAAGCAGACCAGGAATGCTCTTGTCCTGCAAACGTGTTCCTGCTGTTGACATAGATACCCAACCCAAATGAACTAAATGCATATTTCATATGCTTTTCCCCCTTCAGCAGCTTGGTAGACTCTGCTTTACTTTTCTCTAGTTTAACATTTCTTGTTTTATTTTACAATGCAAGACTGAATGGAGGGGAACCATCCATCCCTCATCAGTCTTGCAGCTGCGTTTCCCTTAGCGCAGCACATGGGGATGTCAGCACTCTGGGCTAGGAGTGCCATGCTTAACTTCCTGTCAGTGCCACAGCTTCTACTGCTGTTACCAACTGTTCACTCCTGTAGTAACAGCACTCCTGTATGCAGAGATTTCTCCTCTGTGCTGTGTTAAAAATGTTTGACTTCTCCCCTCATCATCCTGAACCTCGTTCTGCTGCTCTGCATTTGGTTTTCTGCTCTGTGAGCTATGGTTATTCTGTGTTGTTGAACACCTGTATTCTAACAATTATATTTCTTCTGCTGGCAAACAGCACTGACAGGTCCCTTCTTTCTGGCAGGTGTGGTGTCTGTCTGTTTTGAGGGAGACAGCGATGGCTACATTAATCTGGTGGCATATCCCTACATGGAGAATGAAGCTTTGGAGCAAGATGACATGCCAGAGAGGGACCAGCCACGGCGCAAGCACTCGCGTCGGAGCCTTCACAGGTCAAGCAGTGGCACTGAGCACAAGGAGGAAAAACCTGGCCTGGCCGGTGACAGCACAGAAAGGTAGAAGCTTGTGAGGGTCCACTGACAACGTGGCAAATGGGAAATCACAGAATTGTAGGGGTTGGAAGGGACCTCCAGAGATCACTGAGTCCAACCCCCTGCCAAAGCAGGTTCCCTACACCAGGAAATATTTCTTTCCGCTTTCAGCTCTGGTCCTCCATTTATTGAGGGTGTTTTGTACTTCTGTACAGTTGCTAGATTGTCTTGCAGTTGCTATTCCAGCAATACTGTGGCACTGCAAGCTACGTTAGGAGCCCAGTTGTAGACAAACTCATCCAAGCGGAATGCTTCTGATGTGGAATAACAGCTGGAAGTGGAAGCAAAGCCTGGGGAGCAGATTCAAATGCAGATTCAAAGACCATCCAGTCCTTAACCTGAGGATATAAGTATGGGTCCACAGCCTGGGATGTTAGGAAGGATTTGCTGTTAAGCTGGCAGCTTTTGCGTAGTGTGAGGCGTGCAGCAGGAGAGGAAACAGCAGGAGGAGGTCGTGTGCAGGTATGACTTGTAAATATCTGGAGAGTGCATGGATCCTAACGTGCTTCCTTGTTCTGTGTTTATGCCAGCAGCATCCAGGAGGCAAAGAGTTCCAGGATGGACTTGCACATCCACTCAGATGTTCCGTTTCAGATGTTGGATGGGAACAGTGGGCTGAGCTCTGAGAAGATCAGCCATAACCCCTGGAGCCTGCGCTGCCACAAGCAGCAGCTGAGCCGCATGCGCTCGGAGTCCAAGGAGAGAAAACTCTACAGTATCCTTGGGAAGGCACCGAGTGCATCAGGCTGCCGTGCTGCCTACACTACACACTCGTGCTGGAAGCAGCTAGGCCTGTGTTTCCCTTGGCTTGTGTTAAGAATGATGTTTTCCCCATCCATTGCACAATCAAAGCTGTATTAAATTCTCTTTTTCCTACTTGTCAAACAACGCCACTGATTTCTGACACTCACAGAAGCCACGTTTCTGGCTAGTTTCCTCTACTTGTTTTTTTCTTCTGGACTTTCTCTGAGTTGGCTTGTTCTTTTTTCTTTTTGAACTATCGAATTCTTCACATGAGACCTTGCCCAGATGCAGGTCTAGCCTGCTCAGTAATCCCTTGGGAAGGAGCTACGATCGTCCTTGTCACCTTTCTTGAGCCTCTTCCAGTTCTACTGCATCCTTCTGGAAATGGTGACCAGAACTGCGCGCCGTACAGAAGGTGCTGGTGAACCAGAGGCTTCATTTCCACTGGCATACAGTGCTGTTGTCTCTACTTCCTCGTGCTCTGTGGCACACTCTCTTGTTGTAAATGCTGTTTGTTTGTTCTAACACCATTTTGGACTGTAATAGCTGTTTCAAAACCCACTGCTTTAGACGTTGGGGTTAAAAATAACAAACCTTTTTCTCCTTGTGTTCATCTCACACGTTAACTCTGGACGGTGTCTACCCATGTGATGACCAGCTGGGCACCATGAGGTGCTTTTGGGATTTTTTTGTGGTTGCTCCTCGTTTTTGGAACTTTGACTGACTTGTTTGTCACCTCATTCCATTTTCTGGATCACTCGTTGACCAGCATGGTTCTCCCCACGCAGGCCTTGTCAATGACTCTGTGTGACCAGTCAGAGATCCCATCTCCTTTCTTCTTTCATTTGCTAGCTAATTAATTGACTGCCAGCTGCTTGTCCTCAGTCTGTTGCCTGGACTCTTGGAGGCACTGCCCAGATCTCCCCATCCTCACGCAGATTTCATTTTGCCTTGACGCTTCATGTCTGCATTTGTCAAAGTTGCTGAAGGACCCCAGGGTGTTTCTGAGGTGTGACTTCCACAGGAGCTTTTCAGGATCCTTCCCTGAGAAGTCGTTTACCAGCTTGTGTTCTGCAGGGCTGCCTCCAGCTGAGCTGTGTGGCACGCCTGTGACACTGTGCAGTTCCCCAGGTCTCTGCCACTCAGCACTGCCACGGCCTCCCTTTGGTCTCCTAGCGCTAAGGCAGCTTTAAATGAGCTGCAGTTCCTGTTTAGTAGTAGAAGTAGATCTGTCCTGTGACCTGCAGTGCTTCTGGGTGAGACTGTCCTGTTCTGATTATTTGTCATTCGTTAGTTCTTGCTGGATGTACAGCTCTTCTGCTGGCACTTTAGCTTCAGCTCATCTGTATTTAGAAAAAGAGTTTTGGCTTGGGAATCCCCAGTAAACACAATAAATTATTAGTGCTTCTTTCTTTTCAGAGTCTCTTTGTACTCCCATCTCCCATTGGCTCCTTTTATACTTGTGCTCTAAGCCCTTCAAGCAGTTTGAATGGCTTCTTCATATGGCCTAAGAAGGATTGTTTTCTTTGCCTTTGCAATTCATTCCTCACACAGTTCTGCTGTTTTGTTTTAACATGACAATTTCTGGTTTTGCTTCACCTGCCAGAGCTCAATTTTTGTTTTGCTTGCCTAGAAACAACCTTGTTTCTAATAGCTTTATTCTTCCACCTTTTAACTGTGGCCTTCCTTTTCCTATTCCCAAGTGTGTGCTTTGAGCCTCCAACGTATATTTTTAAATGGACTCCACATCACTTGCAGAGAAGTGATGCTACAGCTGTCCTATCTTTTTTTAACACGCTTCCTTATTTTTCTGGAGTTCCTCTTTCAAATCAAACATAGTTTTGCTGGTAGATTTTTTTTCTAAATGCTGAACTCCCTTGCAAGTTTAACGTAGCTCTGCTGCTGTTGCCATTTCAGAGCAACACATTGAACTGTGACCCACAGGGCAAACGTTGGGGTTATTCCTCCCCTCTGGGACTCCTTTGCTGTACTGATTGTCTCAAGTTTGCTCTCAGTGCCCTAATGGAAGGTGTGCCCATTGTGTGTGGTGCTAATTGAAGTTTCCCATTACAAGTCTGTTTCCTGCCTTTGTGGCCTCTCCAGTTTCCCCCCTGTGTTGGTCAGTGCTGCAGTTCTGGTCAGGCTGATAACAGAACTGCAGCTATTACTTCAGCCTTGAATTCTCAGTCCATGGGGATTGTGTTCTTCATCCACGTGGTTAAACTGTGATTTTGGTTAGCCTTCGAGCTCTCCCTCAAGTATCACCAGCCCTTGCTGGCACGCTGCATTTCTCCTGATGCTAGCATTCTGCTCCTTGGTTCCTCCTGCTGGGCTTTCCAGTAAGCCTCTCGTGATCTCTGTTAGGGCTGGGCCTGCCACTTTCCAGGCTGACTTCTGCTACCAGCTGCCAAAACCCACGTGCCGCTCTTTGGGTTCTGTCCTTTTCTTCACCTTCCCAGTTTGTTCTGCTTCCTCTTTGGTTCCTGTTTGTTTGCCTGTCTCACGCTGGCCTCTGTCCCTCCTCGTGGCAGCTCTGGGGCAGCGTCTCTGACTGGGGAGCTCTCCTTGACGTGTCTCTCAGAGTTCCTTTTGCTGGAGAACGTGGTGCATCATTTCAAGTTTCCCTGCGTGCTTGATCTGAAGATGGGGACCAGACAGCACGGAGATGATGCCTCTGAGGAGAAGGCTGCTCGGCAGATGAAGAAGTGTGAACAGAGCACTTCTGCCACCTTGGGCGTGCGAGTGTGTGGGATGCAGGTAGGAATCCCCGAGGCTGCAGATGCTGCACGTTCCTTTTCCCAGTCCCACTGGAGCTTCTAGTTGTTAATGTTTGCTGCCGAGCTCTGAGTTAGCGGGTGGGTGTGCTGGAGTTCATGGTACATACTGTTGGTCTTCATGTGAAAGCCCAGAGCAAAGGAACTTGCTTCTCTCATGGTGGTCTGCTTGTTTGCAGAAAACATGGGGACTTTTTAAACAACTGCTCTTCTTGCTTGGTGTTAAGCTAGAGCTGCAGCACCGGTGGAGATGTCTTTCTGTTCTACCGTTCATCCATGTGTTGAGAGTTAAACATCTGTTTTCCTATTGTGGTTACACCATGAGCACGAGGATTTGCTGCTGGTGCTGTCGTGCAATAGAGCCAGTCCTTTCCCGGCCTGCAGAGGCATCTCATAGTCCATATCTCTGCCCACAGACTGAAGCAAGGAGGGCTAATCACATCTAATCACATGATAAGCCGTGTGGGGATGCAGGGGGCAGCAGGGCTGCTCCTTCTGCCTCCTGGGTGTGGTGGTGACGTGAGTTCCCTCTGCCCTGTCAGTACGAGGCAGCTCTGGGCTCTCCGTGTGTTGCCTTAACCTTGTGTTCCCACTTGATGTGCATTTCCTTTGGTGTTCCAGGTCTACCAGCTGAACACAGGGCATTACTTATGCAGGAATAAATACTATGGACGTGGTCTTTCCATCGAGGGCTTCCGCAATGCCCTCTACCAGTATCTCCACAACGGCATAGAGCTGCGCAAGGACCTCTTTGAGCCTGTCCTTGCCAAACTCCGAAGCTTGAAGGCAGTTTTGGAGAGACAGGCCTCCTACCGCTTCTACTCCAGCTCCCTTCTCATCATTTACGACGGAAAGGACAGCAGGGCAGAGATGTTTGTGGAGTGCCACTCGGAGACGCGCCTGAAGCAGATGGCCAGCTCTGTTCCGGAGAGCCTTCAGGATGGCGGCGGCATGGAGCCCAGCTCCCCCCCACACCCCATGGTGGATGTGCGTATGATTGACTTTGCACACAGCACATTCAAAGGCTTCCGTGATGACCCCACTGTGCACGACGGACCTGATAGAGGTTATGTGTTTGGGCTGGAGAGCCTCATCAACATCATGGAACAGCTGCGTGAGGGAAACCAGTAGCTCTGGGCCATGGCCGCTTATTCTTGTCCTGGTGACTGGAGCAGACACGACCACCTCCTACCACGGGGAACAGCAGCCACTTCAGTTTTAGAACAATTGTATTGCTCCACTGTTTTTAAATGTACTCGGAGAGAAGAGCTGAAGGGAGGCACAGTGGAAGAGCTCCTCAAACTGACCGCAACAGCTCCGCCTCCTCCAGGGGGCTTTATGGCTGCCTGCTGGGGCTCTCGGTACTTTGCTCCTCCCATGTGTATTTTGGAGGGGGGACCTGGCCCTAGGGAAGGGAAAGCAGGAGGACGCAGGGCTCTGGAGGGCTGCAGCTGTGGCTTGGGGAACCTCCTGCCTCGGCAGCCTCCTCAAGGCCTTGGCTCAAAATTCTCCCAGGGCACCGGAGCAGCAGCCGGCAAGCTCTATGGGGCAGGTGCTCTGCATGCTCCCTGGCTGGCATTGCTAGCTCTGCCCTCTGTTTTGCCGTTGGGCCTTTGCTTTTGATGCTGCCTTTTCCTTCTGTTTGGGCACTGTGAATAACCGACCCAAACGGGGAAATAAAATGACCAAATGCAACCCAGGGCAGAGCTGCGGGGGGAGGAAACGCTGCACTCCCGGTGCTGTCTTTGCCCCTGCGGCCCTGGGCAGGCCCCGGGACAGCGCGGGCAGGGCTCTGCCACCGTGACTCTGCCCTGGGCCCCCGACCAAGCCACAGCTCAGCTCGTGGGCTAGCAATAGTACTTGTAGCAGTTAACGTGACCCCGGCCCTGCAGCGGGGCGTTCAACCGTTCCCCTTGTAATCGTCGGTCCCGCCGCTTGTATGCAAGGATCTCTCTGTTCCGCGGGCTCGGTCTGCCGGTTCCTGCAGGCACGGCGCTACGTCCTGCTCTGGGCTCCGGCCGGCACGGATTACCGCTGGGCTGCGCCCGCCCCCCAGCCGTGCTCCGCCCGCGGCTTCCCGAGCCGGGGACGCTCCGTTCGCTGCTGTCCCGGCCCTTTCCCCCCTCGTGTCTTCGCTGTGTCCCGGCCGCTCCCTTCCTGCTCTCCCCGCCTCATCCCGCGGCACTTCTGCCCCGGCTCGGTTCCGCTCTCCCCTCCGCTCGCTCCCTCCGTTGCTTCTGCGGGCGGCCGCGCTGCCCGGCCGAGCCGCGGGGTTCGGGGTGGGCTGCAGTGAGGAGCCCGGGGCAGCGGGAGCAGCCCTGTTGCCCGGCCGGGCTGTCCGGAGCCGCCTTCCCTCGCCCCCGGTGCGGAGGGCCGCCGCCTGTACATAGCCGCGTCCGTCCGCCGTCCGCTATCCGCTGTCCGTGCTCGCCCAGCGCCGCGCATTAAAGGAGCTGGTTTTGGCTCTGCGTCTGCGTGTGTCCGTGGGGCGGGAGTGCGCGGGGGCGGCTCGGCCTCCCATTGGGTGAGAGCAGTGGTGACTCCGCCTCCTATTGGGTGGGGGCAGTGGTGTCTCCGCCTCCCATTGGGTGGGGGCAGCAGTGGCTCCGCCTCCCACCGGATGGAAGCAGTGGTGGCTCCGCCTCCCATTGGGTGGGGGCAACGGTGGCTCCGCCTCCCACTGGATGGGAGCAGTGATGGCTCTGCCTCCCATTGGTTGAGGCGCGGGTGTCCCCGCTCTCAGGGCGGGCCCGGCGGTGACGCTTCAGGCGCGCGCGGCGCTGACGTGTCGGCACGGGCGCGGGGATGCGGGCGCTGATCCTGGTGGGCGGCTTCGGGACGCGGCTGCGGCCGCTGACCCTGAGCCGACCGAAGCCGCTGGTGGAGTTCTGCAACAAGGCGCTGCTGCTGCACCAGCTGGAGGCGCTGCGCCAGGTACGGGCAGCTCCGGGGGGGAAGCCGGGCCCCGCCGCCCCGCCGCCCCCCTGACCGCAGCTCCCGCAGGCGGGCGTCAGCCACGTGGTGCTGGCCGTGAGCTACATGTCCGAGGCGCTGGAGGCCGCTATGCGCGAGCAGGAGCAGCGGGTAAGGGACCCCCGCGCCCCCGCCCCGCCCCGCCCCGCCCCGCCCCACTCTGACGCTCTGCCCGCAGCTCGGCATCCGCATCTCCCTGTCCCACGAGAAGGAGCCGCTGGGCACAGGTAGGGGCGGGCGCTGGGAGGGGTGCGGGTGAAGCCCAGTGGCCGAGAGCGCCGCCGGCGCCGGGGATGCTGGAATGGGCGCGGGTGGTGGGGACGGAGGGCTGCTGACGGTCGGTGGGTGGGAGAGCTGATGGGCACGAGGCTGGGGACGGGCGGTGTGGACGGCGGCTGGGAAGGCCGATGGGCACGAGGGACAACGGGATGAGCGAAGGTAGCATCGACAGCGGCTGAGTGACAGCCGGCGGCTGGGAGCGTTGGTGGAAGCGGGGACACCGAGATGGGCGCAGGCAGCATCCAGCTCGAGGCTGGGCTGTCCCCGGCCCCGTGGTGGCACTGACAGCTGGGCAGCGGGACCGCTGGCGTTGGCGCGGGACCTGCTGGCCGAGGGCGGGGAGCCCTTTTTTGTCCTCAACAGCGATGTGATCTGCGAGTTCCCCTTTGCGGCGCTGGCCCAATTCCACCAGCGGCACGGCGGCGAGGGCTCCATCGTGGTCACTCGCGTGGAGGAGCCGGCCAAGTACGGCGTGGTGGTGAGCGAGCCCGACAGCGGCCGCATCTGCCGCTTCGTGGAGAAGCCACGTGTCTTCGTATCCAACAAGATCAACGCCGGCCTCTACATCTTCAGCCCCGGCATCCTGCAACGCATCCAGGTAGGGCTGGGCTGGGGTCTGGGGTCTGGGTCTGGAGGCTGTGTCCCCATGCTCAGCCCACAACCCGTCTCCGTCCCTGCAGCTGCGTCCCACATCCATCGAGAAGGAGATCTTCCCAGCCATGGCGCAGGATGGGCAGCTCTATGCCATGGAGCTGCAGGGTAAGGCCCCAAGCAGGGTCCTGGCCGTGCTTGGGGCCCCACCTGAACTGCTGTCGCTGAGGCTCTGTCCCCGCAGGCTTCTGGATGGACATCGGGCAGCCCAAAGACTTTCTCACTGGCATGTGCATGTACCTGCAGGCACTGCGGGCGCAGCATCCTGAGAAGTTGCACTCAGGGCCCGGTGTCGTGGGGAATGTGCTGGTGGTAAGTGCCAGCCTCAGACACACTGTATGGCCTCACCTCCATCCTCCCACTGCTTTCCTCAAGCTGGCCCTGCCATCCCCACGCTGGCTGAGCTGTGCCCCCGGCCTCACTGCAGTTTTGGGCATTGTTTTGAGGGACATGGTTTAGTGAGAACTATCCGTGAATGGTTGGACTGGATGATTTTACAGGTCTTTTCCAACCTTGGGGTTTCTGTGATCAATCCCTCTTTCCTTGCAGGATCCTAGTGCCAAGATTGGGGCAAACTGCGTCATCGGCCCTAATGTGACGATTGGGGCTGGTGTGGTGGTGGAGGATGGGGTGCGCATCAAGCGCTGCACGGTGCTGCAGGGGGCCCGCATCCGCTCCCACTCCTGGCTGGAGTCCTGCATTGTGGGCTGGAGCTGCTCTGTGGGGCAGTGGGTGAGGAGGCGTGTGCTGCGGGGCTCTAGAGGGACTGGGCCAGATCCTGCCCTGCCTCCTGGCTGTAGCCAAAGGGAGGAGGAAAGCACTGTGGTGCCAGTGGGCGACAGCAGGAGCACGGCCCCATGCCCTGAAGCGGGCTGGGTGTGACTCAGCTCTTGGGACAGGTGCGCATGGAGAACGTGACGGTGCTCGGTGAGGATGTCATTGTCAACGACGAGCTCTACCTCAATGGGGCCAACGTGCTGCCACACAAATCCATCGCCGAGTCCGTGCCAGAGCCACGCATCATCATGTAGCGCCCGCTGTGCTCTCTCCTGGTTCTGTTTAGATTAAATATTTATATTTCCATCTACCTCTGAGCATCATCTGTGCACAGCAGAGCCCCCAGAGCCGGCTCGGCTTTCCCTCCTCACGTCACCCTGGTACTGTGTAAGGAAGAATAATTTAATGCTGCATTTCATGAAGTCAGCCCCCAGCCAGGGCCGAAGTCTCAAAGCCCAAACACACAGCCCGGCCCCAGGCAGCGCTCACTGCATGCGGGGCTGCTGTGGGAATGAGGCCTCGCGCTCCCCTCCCTGAGAATGACCCCTCCCTCCCTGCAGCCCCTGTCCTGTGTTAGGGACAGACCCACGTGCAGGGCCAGGCATTAGGAGCCGGCCGGCTTGGTGAAATCATCCACCCCTGTGATGGTGGCCTTGCAGAAGAAGCAGTCCTTGTTGTTCATCAGGTGCTGGTTGATGCAGGCTCTGGGATGGGGGGGAAGAACAGGGTAAGCACTCCCAAACCCCAAATGCTGCGGTGAGCTGGGGCCAGCAGGAGCTGCTCATACTCACTTGCAGGACTTGTGGGAGCAGGGCCGGAAGATGGCAGAGATTGGATGTGCGTAGCAGATGGGGCATAGGTCCTCCTCGCTGGTGGGCTGTGGGGGACAGGAGGGTGCTTGGCAGAGGTACTTGGAGCTGGGGGGCAGCGGTGCCAGGGCTGCAGGAGAGTTTGGAGCAGCAGAGCTGTGCGTGGGGATGGGAATGGAGGACACTCACCAGCGTGGTGGCAGCCGCCTGCTTGGACTCCTCGCTCAGATGGCTCAGCATCTTGTCCACCTTGGACAGCTCCTCGGCACTGATGTACTCCGTGTCTGGGGGCAGAACCGCATTGAGAGCCGCGTGGCACCCGGCTGCTGGGCCTGCTGTGTGCCCAGTGCTGCTGGACCTGCTGCGTGCCCAGTGCTGCTGGACCTGCTGTGTGCCCAGTGCTGCTGGGCCTGCTGTGTGCCCAGTGCTGCTGGACCTGCTGTGTGCCCAGTGCTGCTGGGCCTGCTGTGTGCCCAGTGCCGCTGGGCCTGCTGTGTGCCCAGTGCTGCTGGGCCTGCTGTGTGCCCAGTGCCGCTGGGCCTGCTGTGTGCCCAGTGCTGCTGGGCCTGCTGTGTGCCCAGTGCCGCTGGGCCTGCTGTGTGCCCAGTGCTGCTGGGCCTGCTGTGTGCCCAGTGCTGCCCCCACGGCCGGCAGCCCACTGCCCCAGCCTGGTGCATCACTCACATGTGCTCAGGGAGAAGTGGCGTTTCTCTGTGGCCGCAGCAGCTGCTGCCATGGCTGCAGGTTCGGCGTGGCCCAGGAGGTACTGGATGGAGCGCAGCTGGAAGCAGGGGTCCGCCAGCAGCACCGCCGTCGCGCGCTCAGCCCTGCAAAGGGAAAGACACAGACAGGCTCTGCCTGTTTCCCCATGTTCCCAGACATGGTTCTGGCTGTGCCCCAGCACCACACAGCTGGCTTGTTCTGCAGGAGCTGTCCCAAAGGGAATGCAGCATGGTGGTAGCCCCCAGTCCTCAGGATCCCACAGCACACACCAAGGCAGCCAAAGGGCATTCCTCCTCCTCCCCCCCCCTCCGCTACCATCCCATTGGGAATCTCCTGCAGGACCCCGGATCGATGTGCTGCATTGGCATTTGCCAAGGTTGCACCTCAGGCTCAGGTGCCGGCTTGCGCCCTAGGAGATGCAGGGTGGCTGAAGCAGCTGGCACCAGCATTGCAGGGTGAGGACACAGCACCGCAGCAGCCCAGGACTGGAGCACATCTGCACCTCGGGGACACCACACGGTGTCCCCACGGTGTGCCATCACCCTGGCAGGGAGGAGGGAGAGAGCGGTTGTGTCTCTTCAGGCCTCATGCATCAGCAGGGATGCTCTGGACAGAGGAGGGGCACAATGTGACATCCAGAGCCCCCAGCGCTGTTCAGGCACTGCCTCCATCAGGCACCTGCCCCGTGCCCCAGCCACAGCCCTGTGGCCACCTCCAGCAAAGGCACAGCTGGGCACAGCAGTCTCCAACTTCATCACCGGCTGAGCTGCTCTGGGGAGCAGGGGGTTAACAGCCCCTCAGTGCCCAGCAGCCAGAGCGGCCAAATGAGCTCTTTTGCTTCCCTAATGGAAACCAATTCCCCATCCCCGCTCTCCGCTTCCCACTGAAGAGCCCAGGAGCTGGCAATGACATTCCTGCACGTCCTTCACCGCACGGCTGCCCCTGCTAGTAGCACCCTCTCCACCGCAGGGATCCCTGGGCTCAGCCTGCCTCCATGGATGGGCGTGCCAGGGGGTTCCCGCCAGCTCATCAAGGGACAAGGGCAGAGAGGGACGGACGCACCGGGGTGTGGGAGGTCGGCGCGACTCAGCGGCTGCCGCTGTCAAAGGAGGAACAGAGGCTGCGCACGGCCGGGAGTCTCCGAAGCGATCCCCTGGGACGAGCACTCGCACCGCCCTGCCCACCGCAGCACGCGAGGGAGGGACGCGCCGAGCCGCCCGGCCACCGCGGCCACCACTCCCCACACCGGGACCAATGGGCTCCCGCCCAGCCCCCACGCTGCGCATCGCCAGCACGTAAGTAGGGGCGAGCGGTCGGGCGCCGCGAGATGCTACCCGGGAAGCGGCCGGGCACGGCGATGCGCGGCGCCGAGCTCTAAGAAACTTGGCGCTCCGGGGACGAGCGGCGCTGGGAGGCGTTGGGTGAGCACCGGAGCACCGCGGCACCCGTGCTGGATGCGGTCCCCCCGCAACGCGTGGCGCTGCGCGAGGGGCCATGCCGCCCCTTAGCTCTGCTCCGGCCCCCGTGGCCGGCTCTGCCAGCACTCGGTAGGGCAGCACGGCCCCGCTGAGTCCCCACCGCCCCGGGCCGCCGAAAAACGCCATGGCCCCGTGGGCATCCGCGGAGCTGTGGCTGCTGCTGCTGCTCCAGTTGTGTCCCGCGCTCGCCTCGCTGCCCCGCAGCTGCCCCCCCGCCTGTATCTGCACCTCCGACCTGCTGAGCTGCAGCCGGCAGACCCTGCAGCGCGTGCCCCGTGCGCTGCCTCCCACCGCCACCACGCTGGACCTGAGCCACAACGCGCTGAGCCAGCTGCAGGACGGCTGGCTGGCCGCGCTGCCGCACCTCGAGGCTCTGCACGTCGGCCACAACCAGATCGGCGAGCTGTCCCCGCGTGCCTTCCACAACGCGTCCCGCCTGCGGCACCTCGACATGTCCTCCAACCGCCTGCGCGCCGTCGAGACGCACTACTTCGAGGAGCTGGTGAGCCTGGAGGAGCTCCTGCTCTACAACAATCACATCGCGCGGGTGGACGAGAACGCCTTCGCCAAGCTGAGCGGGCTGAGGAAGGTGTACCTGAGCTGGAACAACCTCACCTCCTTCCCCTTCCACGCGGTGCAGGGCCTGGGCAACTTCAGCCTGCGCACGCTGGACCTGTCCTCCAACAGCCTGAGCAGCCTGCCTGTGGAGGAGCTGGCGGCGCTGCCTGAGCACGTCCGCAACGGCCTCTACCTGCACAACAACCCTGTGCGCTGCAGCTGCCCGCTCTACCTGATGCTGCAGCGCTGGAGGCAGCGGGGTTTCAGCTCGGTGCGGGATTTCTTTGAGGAGCACACCTGCAAGGTATCCGACGCCGTGCCGCGCTCCCTGATCAAGCTCCTCAAGTACAACCACCTGTTTGAGAACTGCTCGGCCGAGCCAGACCCCGCGCAGCCCGTGTCCTTCCCGGTGACGGTGGGCCGGGTGCTGCTGCTGGCCTGCAACACCAGTCTGCCCCACGTCGCCTACATGTGGATCTCCCCACACCACGAGCCCATCTGGCCTCCGGGGAACACCAACGGCTCCGTCGAGGTGTTCCACAACGGCAGCTTGCGTATTGCATCCGCCCGGCCCTGGCACTCCGGGGTCTATGTCTGCTTGGCCATCAATGGCCCCCACAACGTCAGCCGGCTGTGCGAGGTCAACGTGACGGTGCATTACTCCAAGCCAGACGGGGAGGTGTTCAGCACCGGCCTGACCACGCTGCTGGGCTGCATCGTCAGCCTGCTGCTGGTGCTCGTCTACCTGTTTGTGACGCCGTGCCGCTGCCCGCCGTGCTGCAGGACGGCCTCCCCCAGCCCCCCGCAGGAGTGCAGCGCACAGTCCTCCATCCTTAGCACCACACCGCCCACCACCGACGGGCCCAGCCGCAGGGCCAGCAAGCACGTGGCCTTCCTGGAGCCTGCCCGCGAGGTGCTGGATGGCAAGGAGCGCCCGGTGCCCGGTGAGGGCCTCCCTGATGGCAGGCACCCCAAGGTGCTGCAGCTGCGGTCGGACATCGAGTCCATCAGCTCCGTCTTTTCAGACACCCCCATCGTGTCGTAGTGGGGCTGAGCTGTTCGCCTGCTCAGAGCATCACCGAGCCCCAGTGGCTCAGCCTGACTATGGGGGGGGGGGAGGGGGGGAGGGGGTTCAGCACCACCTGCACAGCTTCAGCCGCTGACACAAGGGCAACACTGATGGACTCAGCACGCCTGCAATCCCTGTTTTGTCCAGGCAGCAGTGATGCCAGGGCTGTGGGTGTGCAAGATCCAGCCCAGTGCTCCCAACCCAATCCCCCCAGTGCTGTCCTCGGGGGGGCTCTCAGAGACGGCCATGCCACTGTCCCCAGCCACTTGGAGTGGAGGGAGCACGGTCCTGTGGCCCCACACATCCACGGGGGGACCGCGTGGCAAAGAGGGGGCTCAGCACCCAGCCAAGCAAACATCGCATGTTTTTGCCTCTGAACACCCCCAAAGCTGTACATAGTGATGTCGGGCACCAGGAGGTGACTGACGCAGCGCTGCTTGCAGCTCCCCATGCCACCAAGGACGCTGAGGTCTCCTGCACTGCCTGTGCTCGCTGCTTCTCCTTGAGATGGACGCGCGCTGCTCGAGCACAGCTATTGAGGCAGTAACCTAATGAGCCTGTCAATAAATGTGAGTAATGCTCTCCTCTCTCGGGCCATCACTCTCCAGTTACATTTGAATAAAAAAATGCCTATTTTTTTAAGCTCATGCTGGGCTGTGTGTCTCCTTGTCCTCACGGCAGGGCGGCTGGGCTGGGGGCTACAGGACCCCCATGATCTGCGTGGGGTTAGTGTGACATGCAGTGTTGAGGGCTGGGGGGGCCTCTGGTCACTTGTCCCCAGGAGGTAACATCTGTGAGGTGGGGAGGGGGCAGCAGCAGTGGCACACAGCACATTCAGGAACCAGCAGCATTCAGAGGGATGGGAGATTTACTTGCTCAGGAGCAGGCCGGCCTTGACACTGAGGGAGGGGGGGACAGCACAGAGGGACATGGAGCCAAGCATAGGGACACAACCACCCCTGCACAGTCACCATGAGAGAGCACAGCTCTTGCCCATCCTTCCACTCTTCCAGCACAGAGACAAGCAGCTTATTTCCAGCACAAAGTCAGCCCTGCCTAAAGCGCTCGGGCTCGCCACCTGAAACAGACCTTGTGCAGCCCCGTGCCATCAGCCCTGCAGCCCCTGCTTGGCGAGGGATGGGGACTGACAGCTGCTGCCGGCCCTGCCTCACTGCCTGCACCCGCTGTCCCCTTGTGTTAGCACAGCACTGCTAATGAGCCCGGGATGCTGAGCAGCCATGCCAGCTGCTGCTGGGCCTGGGGAGTTGCGGTGGTACCGTCCCCTGGCTCCGCTCCCATGCAGGGATCCCACTGAGGAGGATACAGGTTTGCCCTTTACAATGGGAATCCTACCGCCCTGCTTTTGCGTGAGCAAAGCCATCCCTTGCTGAGGGATCTGGTTGCTGCATCATGGCAGCATGCTGATGCTTCACCTCAGATTCCGGAACAGCATTCCAGAGAGGTGCTGAGGTGAGGGGCTGGTACCATCCACCCCAAAGCAAGGGGCCTGCTGCTCCCTGCAGCTGCCCAACCCCATCCCACAGTGCCATGGACGTGGCTGTTTCAGTGCCTGTCACAAGGGCTCCCTGTTTCCCAGGAAAACCCCATCGCAGTGTGTCACACTGTTCTGGTGCCAGGAAAGGACTCAGCCCTGCAGTGCAGCTCCAGCAAGGTGCTGTAATGCTCAGAGCAGTCCCTCAAGCAGCTTGAATGGTAAATCTCAGCCAGGGAAAGCACAGCCACGGGCATGGCCTCCATAACAGGCAGGGCTGGAAATACAGCAGATGGTCTCCATCACCACCATCCCCTCCTGGCAGCCACCTGTAATCACTCTGGCCTGGCTGGCTGCCACGCCATGGGTTGGCATGCAGCACAGCAACACGGGTGTGCGGGGCCCAAGGATCATCTGTCCCCCACGCTCCACATCTTGGTTCTCTCCTACCCTCCCACCCTGGGGCTGATTGCACCTGGGCCCCTCCCTTACCACACTCATGGACTTCCAAAGAGGCACAGGCAGCAAAGCTTGGTGCCCCAGCCTGTGCCATCCCCACAGGGCACTGCAGACCCCAGCCTGCACACCCCCTGCTCAGGGCACAGTGAGCGAAGCAGTCGGTAGCCAGGTGACCGCAGTGCTTCCCTCTGTCCTCCCCACCCTCTGGGTGGCACTCCCTGTGAGCCCCCTCGAAGGCTCCATCACAGCTGTGCTTCCAACAAACACACCAAACTCCTGAACATATCCCAGCCCTCCAAACCAGAGCCCCACTGCCACCAAGTGAGTCCCCTCACACGCAGACACCTGCGGAGAACCTTCGGGCACTGCCCTTTCCCCCATCACTCGCTCTCATCAGGATCATTACACAAGATCTGGCCAACTTGGCTCCATTAGCTCAGTCCAAAGGAGGCTTAATAGAAAATCTGCTCAATTATTTAGCAGACAAACAGGGGGATGATACTGGCTGAAGGCTGCCCAGGTCCTTGGCATGGTCCCAGTGATTCAGAGCAGCTCCAGGCTCAGCTCCCACCTTCTCTCTCCTCCCCATAAAAGAAAGGCATGGTCATTAGGGCCTGGCAAAGCACGGAGCACACGGGCATCCCGTTAGCATTGGGAGCACCATCAGTGACACTGCTGCCATGTCTCTATTGTGGAGACTGGAACAGCTCTGCTGCAGACCCACTATGAGCAGGCAGGCTCTATCCTGCACCCTGCCCATCTGTGAGTCTCACCCCTCAGGAGTGAGCTGAGCGTGAAAGTCCTCAGGCTCTGCTCTTGCCCCGGCCAGCAGCTCTTGCAGGAAGCTCAGGTACCAGCTCACAGCTTTCCTCCTTACCCCGGTGCCAGTGCCAGGACTGGCTGGCCAGGCTTTGGGGCTCAGCAGAGCAGGCGCTGGGCACTGAGTGCTGCGAGCAGCACAGCCATCCTCACAGAACCAAGGAGTGCATTTTGGACTAACACACACCATGTATCAATTGTCTCCTCACAACCCAGCCCGGGCAATGTTCCCTATTCCTGTGCTTAATGGCCCTTTTTGTGCCAGGAGGCCGTAATAGGAGGACTTGATGCCTGGCTGAGCCTATCCTGCTGGACAGCATCAGGCCACGTCCTGCTGCACCCAGGGCACTGTGCAGAGCCCTGCTCTCCCTGCTGTGTGTGCCATCAAAGGGCAAAGCCCCCAGCACCTGGTCAGCTCACAGACAGAGAAAGCTCACTCAAGCAAAGAGGTGACAGGAGGTCCTCCTGCCCTTTGTCCTCACCCTCTGGGGCAGAGCTCTCTGCAGGGAACCCAGCAGCTCAACAGCTAGTTCTGGGTAATTCCTATAGAGAGGTTCCCCTGAGCAAACTCATGTGATGTAATCACTCTGCTAACGGTTTCTGGAAATCTGGGAGGTGCCAAATGGGACCTGGAATAAATTTCTTTCTACTCCTACCTCCAGGTAGTGCTTCTGCAGAAGGGGAATCCCATCCTCTTACCTGCTTGCCCCACTGAGAGCAAGCAAAAAAGGGAAAAGGAGGGCTGTCTCCTCTTAGGTCCACATAAACAGGTTTGACAGACAGAACCTGGGGATGGGATCCTTGCTGCTGGCTCCTTGCAGCAATACAACCCACAGCAGCCATCTCCTGCGGGACGGAACCGACTTGATAAAGGTTTAATTCTCCTTTTTCTCTCCAAGAAGGATCCTCTTGCTCACGACCTTGGAAAAGGACACCTCCCCATGCCTGCTTTGTGCTGGCTGCTGCTGAGCTGTGCCACCTCCCTGCATTAGGGTGACTGTGGGCAGAGACCTCAATAGGCCCATACTCAGTCCCGCTGCACCTCCTGGTCCTGCAGCCCTGTTTGCTGGTTCTGAATGTGCTGCACTGAGCAGAACCACCCTGTAGGCAGGGCACAGCCCTGGATCACCAACTCAGAGCTGGCAAGAAGGGGAGTGCTCAGCTCTCCTTCCCTGAGAGTTATCTGCCCACAGTTACACTATGGGTACCAGCAGGCTGCCTACTCCCTGCTCTGGGAGCAAGGATGCCTTTGGGATTCTCAGCCTTGGTACTTCTATGTCTTGTTTGACCTGAGCAACTTCCCTGCAAAGCCTGCCTGCCTTTTATAGATCAGTGGTGTATCAAATCTCAGAATTATTGCTGGGCTTTGCAAAATAATGCACAAGCATTTTGTTTTAGAGAAAATTTTTCCTGGGCTTCCTCCTGTCTCACCTTGTGCCTCTCCCACTCAGCCAGTCCCACCATAAGGACACAATGCTTTATTGCACCATTCCACTGCTTCTTATTTACCTCTGCTTTCCAGTGTTCAAGGAGATGGCTGCAAAGCCCTGATAAACAGCCTCGGACTCACCACTTTCCAGCTGCACAACGGGGTACAGCAATTCTGGTTTGTCACTGTGCTGTCCTGGCTGCTGTGGGCACACACAGGGGACAGTGCCATTCAGCATCTGTGACAGCAGCTGCCTGGCTGTCACCAACCCAAAGCACAACTGGCTTTCAGGAAGGGGAGATGCAGGCTGGGAGCTGGCAGGTTCCATCCTGCACCCTGCTTCCTAAGTTCACTGGGCTGGAGGGCAGAGAAACAGCTTTTAGCCCTAGGACAGATGTTTTAGGGACAGGGAACGGGGGAGGCCTTCTCATCCTGCCAGGCACACGGGGAACTGCTTGACACCCCTCCTTTCCCTCCAGGAGGAAGGAACCAGTTGTGGTGTCAAATTTATGATGTTTGCCCTTTTCACGCAGCAGGATTTTGGGGAAGAGCAAAACACACCCAAACCCAGAGTCCAGAAAGGCCACTGCCAGCGACTCTGCACTGAGCACTTGGCACTGTCACCCCTGGGGCTGTGCGACTGGTGCAGCAGCCATGGGAGCAGGATATAATTAGATGTAGATTTGTGTACATCTTTGAGTCCTTGAGAGAAGAAGCAGAAAGACTGTCTGCATAGCTGAGCTGCACGGCCAGATGGGGCTCTGCTCTGCACACAGCCAGGGATTGTCATGTTCTCCAAAGCAGGATGCGCAGGGCAGACATAAGAGCCCCTTC